TTTGGAATATTCGGATTTATCATTAAAAAAATATTGTTTAGCGCTTAGCGATAATCTCAGATAATTTGAGCCAGATAATTTCTAAATTCTTTTAGCGAAAGTCTTTTTTTTTTGAGAGATGAAAACTCTGAAGTTTGAGAGATTTACCGAGGCGCTTAGCTATAATCTCAGATAAATTGAGCCAGATAACTTCTAAATTCTTTTAGCAAAAGTCTTTTTTTTCAGAGATGAAAACTCTGAAGTATGAGAGATTTACCGACAACTGAATTGTTTCAAAAGTGCAATTTTAAAGATTTCTGCACGCATATGTTATCTGATGTGAAAAGTTAGATAAGCATGCAGCAACAAATTAAGATAATAGATAAGCATAGATAATTGTTTTTGTTGTTTTGAAAGGTATGCAGATGAGTTTCAGTTATTTAACTAAGCAAAAGACATATGTAGGATATGTATTTATATAACACTTTTGGTTGATTGGTTTTAGTGGTGGCAGAGTTTTCTAGCCTTAGATAGTTTTGAAAGATATTAAACTTTAAAACTGAAATATTGTTTAGGTGCCACTGCACTACAGGTTTCGACTTTTTAATTCACGTAAATGTGAGCATAAAAAATTATCTGTTGTTTGCAAAAGTATCTGCAGTGATTGCAAATGAGGGTGTGAACGGCTCAGGTTGGACCAAATTCTAACAAGTTTTGTTACCAACGCGTGTTTATGGATTACTCACATTAAATGGAATTTGTGTTCTGAACTGGTTTTCAATTTATTAGAACAGGAAAATGAATTTTAATCTTGTGCACAAATGTCATAAAACGAGCTTGATAATGGACATTGTGTTAATGTGGCTTACAGGGCGTATTAAGAACATGGAGTGTTTGTGTGCAGGCAGCTCCATATATACATCTGAACACAATGACATACGCAATTTACACTTTAAGTAGTTTGTGCTTTTATGGAGACAATTACAAGGCATTTTACTTGTCTCGCTTGTGTGACTTAGATATTTGTACTTTTTTGTGATTTTATTTCCTCGTTATCAAAGAGAATTTAGACGACTTTTTACGCAAATTGTCAAAAGCAATTTGCTGACTTTTTCTGTAAATATTTTTAGTCGGCCTTTCAAGGTTACCAAGTTTATTTGTTGTTTTTTTCTATATTCCTAATTGACTGGGCTACTGCTAAGTTTTTTATTTCCCGCTTACAAAGTATCTAATTTACTTTTATCTTTTTACAGGTAATAAGTAATGCTATTAATTTATGATATATATAATTTTTATCTCTCTCTCTATATATGTACCGTTTTTATTGATTCATAAACATAAATTATACTAATTGTAAAAAAGTTTTTGTTATATATTCCGTTTAAGGTTCTCAAAAACTTGGTCATTTACTAACTGAATTTATTAAGTTACAAAATGGTCATTAGCCAAACCCTTGCCACCTCAGATCAGATAAATATTTCGGTTTTATTTTTACTAATGCCAAAAAAATGTGTGAACTTTTTTACTTCATCCAACTGATATTAATTATTTTATCTAACTATTTTAAGCGTTTTGGCCAAAAACAACTGACGTAATAGTTTTTGGTTAGATTTTTTTTACGGAGTTTAATTGTCTTTTCTATTTTATTTATTTATTTGTCTTGTTTGTGGTCAAAAACTAGTTGTAAGTAACGAGTAAGAGGAAAAGTAAAACTAACTTTGGGAACTGCAATCAATGTTGTTGTTGCTGTTGTTGTTGTTGTTGTGTATTTTATGGTCAGTTAACTGCTTTTCGCTTTTGGCCAAAAGGCTTAACTGCTGCAACTTGACAGTGCTCTACTCCACTGACAGACTGACTTGCATTTTAATTGGCTTTGGCTGTGGCTGCTATATTTGCTGTCGTTTGGAACAGTTTTTTATGCAAAATAATTATTTGGCTTTTTTCTGTGTGATTTCAAGCACAGATACTTTTGCAGTTTTATTTTCATTTCGGTTTGTGAGAAATAATTTAATTATTTCATTTATGGACATAAACAATGTGTCATTTTGTGCACACAAAACTAAAGTGATAATATGAAAATTCAAAATAAAAATTAAATTTTATTAAAATATGTATCTTTAATTATTAATTTAATGCCATATGACTAGAAATCCATTAAATCCATGAAAAAGCGGTTAATACAATGAAAATTTTCGAATTAAAAAAATTTCTAAATTTTTAACTAGTTCAATCGTTGGGCTGACCATTAAAGTATTATATTTTAAAATAAATTTACTTTAAATTATTAATACGACAAATATTAGAAACAACTAACAAACAAAAAAGAAATTTCTTCTTATTTTTCATTATATCAGAGAGGTTAGTTAAAACTATGCTTTGAAATAAGTCCCTTTCGTGTCATAATAGTAAGATAATAAGTATAAGATAATAATAATAATAATTATTTACGAATAATTAAATACAAGAATTATTTTCAAGACCACTGATAATGGGTATTTGGCAATACTCGAAACAGCTGTATGGTCAGCCAAACATTCAATTAATTAAAATAATAATAATAATAATAATAATAATAGTAAGTGTTAATTTCTTTCGATTGATGTACATCATTTTCCTTGAAGTATTCTAAATTTTTCTCAAGATTTTTGTAACATTGTTATTGCTTAATTTTCTTTTATTAATGCTTAATGACTTGATGAAAATATTTTGGCTGAGAAAGTATAGATAAACCCAAAGTCTTACTGTGATACTTTTGCATAGAATTAAATTAAATGGATTATTCAAATAATATGAAGTTAATAAATTGTGATTGTCGTCATCAGTTAATTGCTTCCTTATCCAAAGCTGCCTCTTCGTATTCATTGAAAGGTGTTTTTAAGTTGAGTTCTAAGTACGACGTATAACTTCATAGCACGGGTGATTGTAGCTATCCAGAGAGAGCCACGTGGAGGTTGTGCGTCGACTTGGAGAGAACAGTGACAAGGATCGCGCTGTCATTAACCATGTTATATGCAATCAGATACTTTACCTTGTATGTTCACTCCCTACCACTACCCCCTTATTATTTATTTATTTATTTATTGTAGTAAAATACTTTCAGAAATACTCATAATACTTGAGAAAAATATATGATAAATTAAGCCAATTTTTTTATATCATATCTTAGCCATTGGTTTATTAAGCACTTCAATGAACTTCTTCCGAAGACTTTCCACACTGCCCACAACAGAATGGAAATACAAATATTTTTAAAAAGTATATAAGAATATTTATTTATTTATATACGTTTTTAATAAATTAAATATATAGTTATAATTATACAACTATTTCGAATACTCTTTTTTAATCTAAAAACATTATCTTTAATTTTATTCTTAGTTTTGTTGATCTCATTTTTTTCCTACTTCCAACATTTTTAGGTTAAAATTTGATTTTTTTATTATAAAAAACTTATTTTGTTTTAAAACTTTGTCTAGATTTCTTTTCTATGCTAGCAAAAAGGTGTGAAGCAAAACTCTCCAGTCAAAATCTCTTACTTATTGTAGGACTGTTGTTGTCATAATGAAAATCAATAACTTTCTTCAAACATACTAGCATTTCTTTTCTATAAATATTTACCAAAAAAATCTAATTTAAGAACTGATACCACTAGCTCTTCGTTTTTTTTATTTTGGACTTAGCAGCCAATTTATCAATTATTTTTTTTTCGATATTTTTTGATCTTATAATGATTTCTGGTTTCTTTATTTGCTTTGGACACCTTCAAACGTATCTTTTAGTTTTTTTAGATAGTTTTTGATCTCATATATTTTTCAGGATGAAAACCAACAAATTTTCTTTACATACTAGCATTTACTTCCTATTAATTCATTATAGAACATAAATTTAAGAATCGAAAATCATAGCTCTTCTATATTTGTTTGGATTAAACAGCCTATCATTAATTTTTTTTCTGAGGTTTTAATCTCATTAACTATTTAGGATGTAAACCAACACTTTTCCTATAAATGTAGGTGCTCATAATTCATTATAAGATGTTGATTTAAGAACCGTTACCAATAGCTGTTCTTGTTGTGTTTTAGATTGAACAGCCTCCAATGCATAACTCATATTTTTTAATAGTTTTTGATCTTATTTCGAATTTCGAGGATTCATTTCTTACTTTCGATTGAACATCATTAACCGTTACTGTTACTTTTTTGATAGTTTCAGATTTTATTTAGATTGGAAGATGAAAACCATCATATGTTAGAACCCAACCATAACCTGTGCCTGGTAGTTATATTGTATATTACGAGTTTATAATTACATTCAGTTATGCGCTCATACCAGAATTATAGAATCTTACTAAAATCATACTAGAACCAATAGAATTTACTTTAAAATATTTGCGATTTGTGATTATAATTTTGGTGCCTTTTCTCTCAGTAAATTTATCCAGTGGGATCCAGTGGGAGTAAATTAATCCACTTCTCGCATTTACATAATTTTACCAATGGTTATTTTAACCAGATCTTCGCTTACAAATCCTCTAAATCAGAAAAGCATTTTATTGTGTGGTGACTTTAATAACGAAAAAGATGTTCTGTTTACTTTTAATTAAAAATTAATTATGAACACTGGTGAAATCGTAGATCCGTCCGTACTGATCAAAGTATTTCTTCCTCTAATAAATACGCAAAAGCTCTGCTCAAATGCATTAAAGCATTTCAACGGGCACTTTAAATTTCACCACACTTAATTGTACATAAGACTCGTACTTCAACAGAAAATGAAGAAAACTTCTTTGAGGTGTGGTGAAGTGCAAACTGAATAAGTTTACGGCTTGTTTTTGTTGCTGCTTTGCATTTTTAGTGTTGGTAAGGTACTTGTGAGTAAACCAAATTACTCGATTTGCTTTTGTGTAATTGTGTTTGTTTTTTCTTGCAGCAGCAAAAGGTTTTTCTTCTTTCGAGCTAACTTTTTGCCAGGCACTACAAAAACACTACGTGGTATATAAAGGCCAAGACAACTTTGCGGCCGTTCAGTTAAACCGCGATTTTAAACAAAGTCATTGAGAACAGCTTTGATCTCTACCAATGACTGCGAGCTTCGGTATTCCAAAATAACAAGATTTGAAAAAAATATATATTAGAAATAATTACAAAAAAAAAAACAATAAAATCAATTATCCAATAATTAATCAATTATAAAAGTTGACGTAGAAGCGTACGCGGTGGGTGGTGTAGTGATTTGCTATATAGACGAAAGACTGGTTAATCTTTTAAATAAAACATAAAACACTCTTAACGGATTATAAATTACCTTAAAAGGTTTTTGATAGCTGTAATTTCAATTACGGATTAACAAAATAAACATTAAAGAAACCATAACGAATCAATAAACAATGAATGTGGTATGTTTAAAAAAAATAATGTTTTTATTTACAAAATTATCACGTATCAAGTTACATATCTATTATCTATACAAACAAAGACTATGACAAAGCAAACTCTCGAATTTCTAGACAATTTTTGTAATTCAATTGTATGTGCTTAGGTTTTATTGTGTATCTGTGCAGTTGCACCAAAACTGCAGTACCTTTAAAAAAAGTGCATTAAATTATAGCTGAGATACTCAACTTGTGTTACTTTATGTCTTGTACTGCGATGTACTGCGAACGATAGACTGCAGTTGCATTTAGTTTAAGATGTTTTGCGTCACTTTTTGAATTAAAATTGCATCACAAATTTAGTGGAGTTCCAGTTTATTTTCTTATTATGACTCGTAATATGCAAATTGATTGCACAGTTAATTTAAAAACTTTTTGCAATTTCGGTTACCTGTGCTGTCAACGGAAAGTAGGTGCTACAGTTTTACACCCCATTTGGAAAACTGGATTTTATGTTAATCTATCACTGAGTTGATCTAACATGATTGCATAGTAACTGCATTGCAAAAGTAGTTACAGAAAAATTTCTTAACATCTGTGTGTACAGATTTTAAATGGACTTTTTTAATAAGTATGGACGGAATGGCAATTCGATGCATTGATGAAGTTTCCATATACAAATACCATAATTTGCTTTAAAAAATTGATATTTTTATAAATGGTATATGCAAATTCAGTTTCTTATTGGCTATTAAAATTAGTAAACTTTGAAAGTGAGTTTCTAGTTAGTATCATGATTAATAGGATTGCTGCAATAACCCGAAATTTTATGTTATGAGACTAATTCCATAAGATTACTCGTACATTATTTTAAAAAAATATTAAAGACATAATACTTCTTCTTGAAGTTGAGTTCTATAAGCAATGGAATTACAATTTAATAAAATAACGAATGGAAAATATTAAAAATAATTATTATTAATACTTTTAAAAATTAATAATGTTCGATTCTAGTATATTATATTTTAACTATAAAAAATCCCAAAAATCCATTTACTAAACTAATCAAGTAGTAATGTTATATAGCATATGAAACATCCTATCACACTAAATTCGTGTTAATTACGAAGTAAAACCTTTTACTTAACTCTTCACTAAATGGTTCTATTGTGTGCCGCGAATATATTCCAAGGCTATGACAAATTTTAGGTAGAGATATTCTTACCCAGTACTAGAAAATTATTGTGTAGCTTGAATGGTGCGAGCAATGTCTTTGATACATATTTTAGGGTTATCGGCTGAACATTTTAGAATATAAGATTCTATAGGGTATGTACGTATCTAGATGATTACTGGAAACTGTGAAGAAGCAGATGAGTGATGCTGTCGTTAGTACGTTATAACAGTAGTTCTTGAGAGATGTCTCTAAATCTATTAGTTAGGTTCATTAAGAACCATATTAGAAGCCCTTAATTCAGTTTAAATAGTGTCATATATTAGTTTTCATTATAACATATATATATAGTATATATAAATTATATATAATATATATAAATATATATAGTTATATACTATACATAATATATGTATAATATATATACTATATATATATATATAATATATATATATAAATATATATTATATATACTATATATATTATATATATTATATATATTATATATTATATATATATTATATATACTATATAATATATTATATATATATATATATATATATATATATATATAGGTATATATATAATATATCTTCCTATTATTATCCTCATTAGAACAAAATTGAGGTTATTGATAGGTTATTTGACTAATCAACATGGTCTGTGTTATCATCTCATCAAATTAGGTCTGCTTAAGGAAATAGAAACTGGAGTTTGTTTCGGATAATACTTTTATTTGTATTCACAATGACAGTCCGGCTTTGAAATGGAGCAGGAGTTTACTGGGCTGAGAGATCGATCAACAATCGATAGGTAATATCGTTGGAGTAATACCAAATATCCAATTTTGTGTTTGTTCTCTGCGTAGAAAGTGTTAGATCGATCAAAAACTGAGCGGTAATATCATTGGAGTAATACTAAATTCCAATCCAATTTTGTGTTTATTCTCTGCGTAGAAAGTGTTATAGTAATAATACCACGCTTATTATTGATTATGCTAAAATGGTTTTGAAGATTTTAAAAAATTTTCGTCACATAGAATTGTAAATGGTTGGAAATTTTAAAATCTCTCTGTTTGTCGTTTCCTGAATATAGCACTATTTTACTACAAAAATATGATTTGAGGACTTGAGGAACATAGTATGGTAAAACTATGTTACACAACAGATTACGTATCGAATAATAGCAGAATTACTAGATATAACATACAAATTTCACGATAATATCTTTAACATCAGTTGTTCTATACCTAATGTAACTCTAACAAGAGTAGAAGTGACTTGGAGATATATACTCGGTATTAAATTACTATTGTTTTGTACTACAAGCAAAATACGTTAATACACATTATTTGGTAATCCATAAATGTATCTGTTCATTACTACCTATATCTATAATGAATTTATTCTTCTTCTTTTTGTAATTTAGTTTCAAAATATTTTTAGGTAATTATTGCATTAAACTGGTTAATAAACTAATAACCGATTATAATTAAAATTCATTTTTTGAAAGTAAGGCCAAATTCCTACGAGTAGAATACTCTATCTGACATAATAATAACATACATGTTTGCTTGTACATATATCATTTTGCATACATTAATGTAATTAATGATTGATGGATTAATGTAATCAGCTGCTACAATTGCTTAAGTAATAATATTTTTTAAAATGTTTTTAAATTTAATGTTAATAGTTTGTTACTTAAAAGTAATCAATAGTATTAAAGTGTATTTTAAATATACAGAATTTCACTATGTTTTGAACTATCGACGTCAGCGCTGGCGTTAATCATACTAAAGACTCAAATGGTACCCACATCGGTCAGAGGTCATATCTTTGTTGACGTTCTCTTCGGGAGAAGTCAACTTAAGACTTCTATTGTATACCGTATCGACTACCAAGCAAAAACAGAATTTTGCTTTGCTGAGATAAGATTTCTTTTTTCTGTAGAATTTTGGTAAACTGCTGCAATATCGCATAATGCAGTAATTAAAGCAAAAACTGAGTGGTGCCGTGATTGTTGCTTAGTCAAACAAGAAATAGTGACAATGAGACCGCAAACAATGACTCAAGAACTAGATCAGCTATAGAGCTTCCTTTGATTGTAGCTCTATTGTGAAATAAGTTAATCCACAATTAGGTATCAGAGGTATGAGACATAAGTAAGTTCCAACCGAAAATAGGTGCTATTTACGCGACAGTCTAGTTAACACTGCTAGCCAAAGGAACTGGTTCAGTAGAACTATATGGAATTGTAGATGAGTACATACTTCCTCATTAAGACTGAGGTTTTAATGAGAAACGTTGAGCTAAGATATTGTTGGCGCCATGATTACCTGTTGGCGTTATAACAGGTAATCATGGCTTGCGTTATATTTTTTAAAAGATGGGTTTGTCGAAGAATACTCAATGTTGACTTCTCCCGATAATACTCTTTATAACATTTTGCATGTCTGGTGCATTGTTGGCAAGTTATATGACGAATCATCAGGTCTGCCTTTAATATATCAACAAGATGGATTGGTTTAAGAAAACTGAATATTGACTGTTTCTGGAAGCGGATGACACTTTTTGTGGCTTTGATCTGTATCAGGAAGAGGTTGATGGCGCTAAAGTATGTCTGATGTTAAGATGTTCTTAACAATTGATATTTTGACTTTTATTCGAAATATCTTATGTTCAGTTAGGCTCTGCTAGTAGATCAAAAAATTTGCTCGGCTGGGAGACAGTATCTCATATATTTTGTCTTATTCTAATAGTGTTAGTTGTGAATAGTGTGTTGAAATTAAGAGGAGCTTAAGTGCGTGAAACCGCTTGTAATGTATCGAATGGCTCTATGAATATGCCTTTTCATTAGTTATGCTTCAAGACAAGACTGAATGATAAATAAAACTATAACTAATACAGTATGCTATAATACGGGATATATGAAATATTTACTGTACTTGGTTTCTAATAAATATTTTATAATGAAAATTGCTTCATCAGCATTTTTTTTGCAATATTAACTAAATGCAGAAAAAAAGTGGATTATTGTGTAGTGAGAAAACTATGCATGTTTTTACTTAACATTTGCAGTTGTCAACCTTAAATATCAAAGGCAAAACATTATAAATATTTAGTTGCGTTACTCAAAATGTAAATGCAAATGTGGATGAAATGAAGTTTGGCTTTTGGTTAATGGTCAAAATGCCAACATTAACTATTATTATAATTTTTTTATATATTTTTGAGTTTACAAACTGGAGCAAGCAGTTGCTAGGCGTCTTGGTAGATCTATGTACCAAGGCTGTTTGGCTATTTTACATTCAACACATTTAATAGTTCAAGACTTAAGTGAAAGGTTTTTAATTTATTAAATGGACTGTGGATAGGAATGGCATTATTGTATTACTACAATAAATAAATAAATAAATAAATTATTTTCTATAATAATTTAAAATGCAAAGCACTTCTACTACTCAGACTTTAATAAGATTATTAATATTTTTATTAGCGTATTTTGTAGCAAAAAAAAAAAATAATGGAAAAAATGCTGTTGCAATTTTATAATAAAATTTTTTTTATAAAATGTTTTGGTGCGAATTGTGGAATGAAGTTCCATAGCATTCATGGTACAAAATATATTAAGTTGTTAAATACCACAGTGTGTACATAAAAATGCTGCTGAAAAAATATATAAAATTTATTACAAAGTTTTTCATTATATCTGCGGATCTTATTTCTCAACAAACCGTTTTAAAGTGAATCTCTTGGAGTGCTGCAAAAATTCAATGAAAGTAATGAACTGTAATTTCATTGTTGTCTCGAAGCTGCACGCCTTCAAGCGTTTTAGCCACAGATTTATGCAGTTTAATGAAATAAATTTAAAAAAAAGTATCTGTTTTTAACTTATAATCTCTAATGTTCATCTAACAACTTAGCAATTATTATTCATGCAAAAAATTCAAAACAATGAATAAAACAAAAAAAAAAACAAGAAACGTACAGCAAATTAAGATGAGCTGTAGTTGGTACTCATATACTTGCATCTTCAGGCAATTCTTATGTTCACGAGATAATTGAATAATTATTTAGCATTTTAATATCATATACATAGATTAATATTAATTTATTTAAAATTACAAAAAAAAATCCACATACTCACTACTACAAAAGTAGCTAATTTGCCTTCAGCTCTTTAGGTTGATAATTTGTTAAATTACCGACAATATCTTTACATAGCGCATCAGATATCGCAGCTGTTGCAAGCAACGTGTGAATTTAAAGCTGTTAGGTTGCATATAACCAACTGAGAAGATACATAAATGCAAAGATACAGTGCACATTAAAATATTTGTTTTTGTTTTTTTGAAGCAATTTTTAATGTAATTTCTACATGAACATATCACACATTGTCAACTATGAGAAACCATTTTTTTTTTGTTCGAAATTATTTTCATTCTGTTGGAACGTTTACATATAATTGAACCCATCAGTTGCATGGCGGTGCACGGTTGGTGCGAGTTAAGTTATAGGCCCCTCAACCCATTCGAACCATACGAGTATAATAAATTTACTTTTTAATTACTACTCAAGCGTTTCCAAAGACTTTTGGTGCAACTGAAAATTGCGTGGGAAACGCAATGTTGCCCAACTAATTCATATAGTAAATTGATATTTTCGCAATTTATTTATTTGCTTATTGTAAATTTCATATATTTCACGAGGAGCAGAGCAGTTACCAGTGCATCAGTGCTTCCCACTTTGTTGGCAAAACTTTGGCATTTGCATTAATTCCTTTGTTCCATCGTATATTGCCAACCATATTTCACTGGCTTCCATTGTTGGTCTCATGTTTAGCTTTGAGTTTCGCCAGTTGAGTTTGTTCGCTGTTCGGTGCAATTTATTGGAAAAGTTTCTAATGTTCGGAGAGAAATAGTTCAAGAGAAGTTGTATCAACAAATTTGCATTCAAATGAATAAAACAATTTTTGCATATAATTATTTGATATATATCAACAGTTTAAAAAAAAACTTTCTTATATGATTATGATATTTACTGCAAGATATTAAATACATTTTTTAAAGTTCACAATGTTACTTCGATACTTACATTTATTTTTCACATTTAATTTGCAGTTATAGTTCATATTGTATATTTTTATTTCATATATTGTATATTTTTATACAAAATGAACTCTAATTATAAAGCGAGCCACAAGGTAAATATAATTGGAAACAATATATTTTATTGTCTAGTTCATTAAAATAAATACCATAGGTGTAGTCAAACGGGTACCAATGGGGCAGTGTGTAAATAATTTCTCGTACAAGTACAATTGTTTGGAGTTTAAAAAAGTTTTATGAAAGCATTTAATATATTTGCTTTTATTTAAATATCTTTATATATGAAGAAAATCAAATTTTTTGAATTTCTCATATCTTTCTAAATTTACCTACGATAGTACATATAATCGAAACCTTTTAAATATTTCTATATATAAGGCAAATCAACTATTTTGAGTTTTCCACATATTTCTGGATAAGTCTATGATAAGTATATATATTTGAAATTTCACTTTTATTTAAACATGAAAAGAAGTCTACACTACTTTATTAAAATTTTATTTTTTTTTTTAAAAAAATATGAAATTATATGTGCTTTCTTTTGTCCAGATAAGAAAAATCAATTTTTTTGAATTCTTCACATGTTTCTGGATAACATATGCATAGGATAAGTACACATATTTAAAACTTCACCATTATTAAAACTTTGAAAGAAGTTCACCCAGCTTTCATCAAATTTTATTTTTTTAATAAAAAACATGAAGTTCTATGTACTCTCTCTCCTTCAGATTTCCAGTTACTGATCTTATCGCAGTATTGTTATACTTTCTATAATAATTTTTGCGGGCTAATTGATTATACTTTATACGAAATTATGCAGAAAGTTTTTACATATTACTTTTCAGGACGGAATACATATGTCATATGTCATATGACATCATGATATTATGAATATTGTTATTTGTGATTGACAGGAAATTGTATACAACAAGTTGGTCTTGTTTAGAACAACAATTAATTCGGTCCTTTACTGCTCACAACTCGAACGCGTAAACGAAACGATCTAGAAAAAGCGAGCAGAATAGACCAACAGAAAAAGAGTTGTCATACGATTGTAAACGATATTGACAATACCAGGCCATAAATATATTTAGTTTTAATGATTCCACCCTATATAGCGTGGACAATACATTATCTGACCACCATTTGTTTTTATATGTTAAGAATTGTCCTATCGAAGAGCTTTTGAAAATCACTTGGCCAGTTTTCTCGCCAATGAACCATGAATGTTTCATAATGATGGAATTTCGGGGTTACTTGAAAAATAGAAATCATAAATAATAATAGCCAATAAATAATTGATTAAAATTGATTTTTAATAAAGAAAATTTTTGTTAAAAAGTGTGCCAAAACATCATAGACATATTTTAATATCATCTAATATTTTACAATTTAGCAGTTAGATTACTAAACGTGTGTGATAATAAAAAATATTAGTACATCTTGCACTCAGATTCAATCGGACTATCTTCACTATATCTGTAAGGCCAGTGAAGAAATAATATACTAGACATTGAACTCGGTTAAGAATAAGGATAAATAAAGTAATTGATAAATTTCTTTTCTTTTTTATTAGTGCAGCTTCTGTGTATTCCGGTACATATTTCAGATACAAGCCCCGTATTTTGAAATACAGTGCCCCGTCCGTAGCTTAGTACACAAATTGACTATAGGTTGGTCACAACTAAAAATACATTTAATTTTTTTCTATGTCATCACGATGGCTAGGTTCTCCCGACCCCACAGTTTTCTATGGTAATTAAATTACCGGGTTTATCCTAGTCAAAGAAAATTTTGCAACAACAATAAGAAGTATGAACAACACGAGAACACCCTACATCTGTTTTATTATTCTACTGCCCTAATTACGGACTTATTTCTCCATATATACTGTATTATTAAAAAATAACAATAACAATATTATAATGTTATACTTTAAATAGAACATTATAATCAAATAAGATAAGAATTATACGAATATATCCGTAATTAAAAAAAATGAGAATTATAAGAGTTATATGCTAATAAAAAAAGTTTTGAATAGAATAGGTGAACTTTAGTTGTTCTAAAATTTAAAAAGTCTTTACACACAGATTAATTACAATCACAAATTAATTAAACACAAATGTCCAATATTAGGTCTATAAGTAAATAGCTTTTCTTATACATAAGAGCAAGAATAAGGTGTTTAGTAAAACAAATTTTCTTATATTAAATAGTCTCTTTTAGACTCAACACAGACCTCAATTTCAATTAATTTAATGAAATATTTTTTTCTTATTTTATTGAAAAAGATTTAGATAAATATAAGTTAAAATATAAATAATCCAATATGTTTTTCTATAGTTTAAAAAATTATTACTACTAATGTTCCTGTGTGCATTAGCAACAGCACAAGACTATCAGGACTATCAAGAAAACACACCACGTTCTGCACCTATAAGACTGCGCCCAAGTGCTGGACATTTGGCAGATTCTGCCCGGCCGACACCAGTACCAATTTTAAAGCAAATAAATAAGTATGATAGAAGAAGCGTCAGTATTTGATATTATTAAAATTACACTAAAATTATTACATTGCAGACACAATGAAGATGGTTCCTATACTTATGGTTATGAAGGTGCTGATGGTTCATTTAAAATCGAGACTAAACTGGCAACAGGTGAAGTAAAGGGCAAATACGGTTATGTAGATGAGACTGGTAAAGTGCGTGTTGTGGAATATGGCGCTAATAAATATGGATTCCAGCCATCTGGTGAAGGTATAACAGTAGCACCACCAACTTTAGTAGATGAAACCACAAGAGATCCACCAGAATATGATGATGAACCCATAAGACCACAGAAACAATATGTAATATAATTAATTGATTTAATAAAATTAAATTTTTATGAAATAAATTTATTTTTATAGCGTGTCAATCGACCACAGCCACAACCAAGACCAGCACCTCGTCCACAACCACAATACGTACAATATGAAGAAGAAGAAGAACCTGAAAATATACCAGCACCACGTAGACCACAATATTCTTCACCACCACAAGCTTCAGCACCAGTACCACCTAGATTACAAGTTCCCGGAGCACAACGTTCTACAGATGTGTTATATTCACCTTTGCAGCGTCCAGCACGTCCTGAAGCTGATTATTCACAATCACAGGTATTAATAGATTTTCAATTAAATGTATATTAATTTAGAAATATTATTATTTTTGATATTCTTTCAGTCATTTGGTGAAGGTCCGTCTAATGTGCGGATTTCACGTCCTGTCTATGCTCCAGCTCCCGCTAATCCAGCGCCTTCAAGTGCACGTGCACAAGGTTTCTTAGCACCAGCATCTGGTGGTCGCCCTCTCTTGGAACCTTTACAGTTTGGTCCAACACAAGCACCAGCACCGCGCCCCGTACAACAGCAACCGCAACAGCCACGTTATCAACCACAAGGCAGAAGCAACGGTGGTGGTGGCGGTAGTTTATTAGATCAGCTAGCGCGCGACTATGCACTGCCACAGGGCAATGCGCAGCCATTACATGATATATCTTTCGGTTATTATTAGTTTGAACTAAATTTTAGTTACAGTAACAAAGGATCATCTAGTCGATGATTCCATTTAAATTAATAATTGTTTTAAATATTTTTTATTTTGTAAAAATTTTTAAGCAATTCAGTTTTTTATTAAAAAAGTTTTTTGGAAAATAAATTAAATTTTTGCCAGAATTTTTAAATTCAGTTGTTGCCATTTCAGACCTAGAAAATATATAAAAGTAAAAGTAAAAAGTATAAAAGTAAATATATAAAAGTATAATATATATGGACATAATAGGGAGGCTTCGAGACTGGGCCTACCCTATAACGTTTTTTGTCGCGGCTGTAGTTTTGAGAATGAGATGGGCATTGACATTTCATGTTTCATTAGCTAGGAGGAGATCGATTACCTTCGGGCCCTTTTTCTCACCGACCTGTCCGAGCTGTCATCTTGCGATATTAGGGATTTTGTCAAATTTACAGCACTGTCAGGTTGGTTTATCTTCACCCAATCACCCAAGAATCGTTGCTTTTTTTAGGCGGTCGTCGCATACTGACTTTTTAGTCTATGTACGAGCCAACGCTATTCCTGTAATAAGGGTAATATTGAGCCATTATTTGAACTGTAGTGGGATTTCTTGGATACAAGGCTGCCACTGCTACCTATCTAATAATACAATTTACTTAGTTAAAACAATTTATAGTAAGGAAAATAATATGGGTTAAACAATTTAAATTAATCTTTTGTAATATCAATAAGATTATATTGTAGATCAAGTCAAAATTTTTCATATGTTTAATTTTATTTAATTTAAATGCTAGAGCAAATATATGTTGAAATAAGTACAGAAAGACCAATATGGGTCCATTTTTACCATTTTAAGTAAAGCTTATATTGCATGCAGATTGCTTTTTAATCTGACAGAAGATAGATACAAAGTTATAGAAACAAAAGTAAACATTAACTCTCCATTAGCTAATATATATATATTTATATTTAGTATATAAGCACGAATTGTTCAAATATAATTATACTTTCTACTTACTTTCATTTTACGTTTATGTAGAATATATACATATATATAAATATATATTAGCAGACATCACACCCATCAATAGAGATTGTTGTGGTGGACATTTTTGGTGTTTTCAATTCGAAAACTCTTCCAAGTCTTATTAATTAAATTAAATTATTACTTATTAATTAAATTTTACCCTTTAAATAGTTTCATACTAATTTTTATTTTGTTCTCAATATTTCGACTTCATACTAAAGTCGTCTTTATGAAACTCAATATTCGTTATCTTAATTTTATACTCAATTTGGGTATTATTCTTAATTTTTATTCTTTGTTCTTAATTTATTTTTTTTTTAAATTCTTTTCTCTCTTATTTTTATTTTACTTTTATTTTCTTTTTCATTTTTATTAAGAAGTATTAATTATTATTAATAATTATTTTTCTTAGTTATTTTAATGCGGCTTACTAAAAGATTTTTTTTTTTTGATATTATTATAATTCAGTGTTGTACTTCTGTAGGTGTTAATTCTCCAGCACCGCCTAAGTTTCATCTATAACACAACTTTTTTTTATTTGAATTTTTTTTTTGTAGAGGCCAGGAGGTTAAATTCACCATCAAACCGTAAGTCCTCAGAATGATGTGCCCTACTCCCTAACATTAATATATAGTAAACGGATTAAAACATCTCCTATTCGGAGAAACTAATTCCCACATCTATTATATATATATAAAAGCTCATTTTGAATTATAATTTTATAGGAACGATTATATTTTTCTCAGTTCTCAGAATGATGTGCCCTACTCCCTAATATTAATAGCTAGTAAACGTGCTAAAACACCCCCTCTTCGGACAGACTGATTCCCACATATATTATATATTTAAAAAAGCTCATTTTGAATTATAATTTTAGTGGAACAATAATATTTTTACCTTCACTGTAGTTACTACTTTGTCACAAATTAAAATTATTGTATTCAGATTGGGACATATGATTGTACATGTGACTTTATAGCATACTTTTAGTAGCATTTAAAAATAATTTAAACAAAATTTTTATATAAAACACATAATATAATTTTATTTAATGTATTTTTCTATTTCATATTTTTAAAGAAAAATATACAAGGTTTTTATAACTAAAAATTCACAAACAGAACTATTAAAATAAATACTTATATGTAGCCAAGGAGTATTTAAAATCATGTAATCAACATTGTGTGTTGTATATTGAGGGATTACTGTACTTCAAAATAAGTCGCCTCTACATATGTTAATCACTTTACTGGTTCTTCATCGTATTATCTTAAGAAAATTGTAGTATATTTTCAGACGTTTCGAAAAAATCTATGTGCAAAAAGTTGTGTGGAGTCCTTGATGATTCGGGGGCTATTCATGAAGTACGCCGACAAGAATGACTATACTAAATTTTCATATTAGTAAAAGGCTTCTGTAAGAAAGTGAAATTAAAGTTTGCAAAAGATAAAAAGAAAGTATTAGTAAAAAATATTTGAAAACTATGAAGATATAAAAAATTTTTCATAACCAAAAATATTACTTACTTTAAAGTGCAAGGGAAAAGTTGTTAAGATGGAAATTAAAAGCAAATTAAAACTACATGCATTTTGTGGTATCCAAAAGCAGAAATTAAGGATTGTTTTAAGAAAGAAAGTTTTTAAGATATTTCATAAAATGTTTCATAAATTGGTGACTGTGTATAATTTGAAGAGTGAAAATTTGTGTGTAAAACTTTGAAAACTAAATAATTAAGTTTGGTGATGAATTTTGATTAAATTCTTAAGTGAGATTAATATACGTATGAGATACTATATTTCAGTAATTTGTATTTATTATTATATTTTAAAATCCATTACAGAGTATATCACTAAATGACAAATAAATAAATGCATAAATTAATTATAAATGAAATAAATAAATTTTTTTAACAATGAAATGCACTGTTGCAACATCACTTTTGACTTAGAATACTTCTAGTTACTTTTGCATTAGGAAATGCTTTGATGCAGTTATTATGCTATTTTTGGATTGGATTAAGACATTAACAAATCACGATTCACATTCACATTCACACATTTAACATGCGATTAAATTCCAACGGATTCTGTATTTCAAAATCTCTTAAATTTAAAACGGTACCGTTGCGTCTGATTTTCATCAGCGGTTGCCCTACATGGCGTCTCACTTTCAGTCCAGAATTATATACTGGACGGTAGTTCACATCGCCATTATGTTGTGCTGGATTAAAGTAAGTGTATTTTGAGGTTTGCACAACGGGATTAGAGAAGTATTTAAACTGTCCACTTGTTGTGCCCGGTAAACGTTCAACACTTTTCTCAATTGTATAATGTGTGTTTACATTTGGTCCACCAGTTTTCTTCGCTACTTCTAATGCAGCTATTATGGGCGTTAGGTCTTGCAATGCATTTTTAGTGTTAGCATGATAATTATCATATTTATAATCATTAGTTTCGGCTGGTGGCGCTGTCGGTTTGTAATCGTAACCCTCATTTGGGTGGTTTTGTAAATAAATTTCTTCAGGTGTTTGTTTCTTTGCCATTTGCCTATAAATATCTGATGGATTACTTTGCCATTGATTATTGTTAGGTGCTCCATATGCAGCAGTAATAGATTCAGTATGTGATAGTGATTCTAAAGGTCCCAAGTCATTTGTTGCACCATAACTATTAATATTCACATTTTCTGGATTTACTTGACCCGGTGATGTCACATCTAATGCAACGGTTTTCGTAGCCGTGTACTCTGTTTTTCCTTTCGGTAGAAGATTAAGTATTTCTTGTAATTGTGCAGCTGCTTTACGTGCCTCTTCGTCAGTTAGTTTTTTATGTCGCGGATAAATGTTGAAGTCATCATATCCTGTTTGTCAATATATAGTTTTTGTTGGGTATTGGGATTAAGATTGTAGTTGATGTCGTGTTTGTATATGCAATGAGAATTAAAAAATTTGATCGTCTTGCAGATAAATATATGCTTGCATAAGTTGTTATTGTGAGTATTTTTTTTTTTTGTATAAGCAGTGTTAATGTTTGTATAGTCACATAACTTATATACAATTGTTGACTTCATTTTGAAGAATGATCTTGACTTCATGCACATTATGAATAATGTCGCAGATCAAAGTTTTAGCACCTTTCTCTATATATTGATTTATATATAAGGTTTAGTACACTTCATATATGTACAAAGATTAATATTCGTAAAGCTGAGTGGGTTTAATATATATTACAGCGCAATTAAAACTATTTGACGGTTATTGTTTAAACTTATCTTAAAATTAAATTTATATATTATATACAAAATAGTCATTTACATCAATCAAACATATAAAAAATTAAATTTGCTAACCATAATTATGTAGTCATATATATTTATACATATATATTCATATAGAATACAAAGCGGTCGAATTAATTTGGAAATTAGGAGATCAAAGATAAAAGATCTCTTATATCTGTCGAAGTTGCTGAAACTTCCAAATAAGATATTAACACTATTTTAAATCACTTCTCAACAGGAAATTATTATGACTAATATCTCTTCTTAAATAAAGTGCCAAAAACAGGAACGGGTAAGTAAGATCTGGTCTCGATGATACGAAATCTTGACAGATCATGTGTATGGGAAGATTTTGAAAAGTGATGGCACAAAAGAAAAATACTTGAAAGTTAAAATAGGAGGATAGAAAAGAAAAGTAAAGTATATGAAAGTTAATTATTTCTATTGCGCGGAAGTTCCAAAAGTGGGAGAGGACTCTTCTATCCAAAAGAAGAGAATTATATAGTTTTGTAGTTTTTTAACTGAATATAAAATTGAATATATAAAGTATGAATCACTGAATTTATTTATTTAGCTTATATACTGAAAGGTAAATTTTTGTAGTAGAAGGTACAAAGGTAAGGTGGTTTATATATTATACAAATTGACATCGAACTGATTAATAGCATTTAATACATTTTAAAGTGCTCAGATATTTCACTAAATGCGTTTATATTGCGCATATAACGCAATATAAATGCGTTATATGCGTTAAGGAAAATATATCTATAAATAATATATGTACAGTAATATATAATATTATATTTGATATTTTATGATACAATATATACAAATATAATTCTTAAACAACTTATTAATTTATAAGTTTAAAAAACTTAGAATATTATTAAATGAATAAAATGTGTAAACAGACTATGAATGGATTATGTATATGGACGTAAGCTAATATTTTATTTATAATATACTTTTATTTATTTTTTTTACGTTTTTTTACACTAAGCGTTTTATTGAAGCATTTAAATATATAAAAATTTTTTAAAATTAATGTAAAGAAAAATTGTTGACTAAATGTTAAATTTTTTATAATTGGACAAAATATATATACATAGGTATATATCCTCTGCATTTGAATAACACCTAAAGAATCAAAAGATTAGTAATTAGTTCATTACTAATTTTTAATTAACATTAATCTCAAGCAAAAGTTTAGCAGATAATTAGCTTCTACTTCAGTCATCATATTCATAACTAGTCAATTTTTAAACAAACTAGGTTGTTAGTAGGCAACTACCATTAATTTTCAATTATTTCTCAACGTGTTAAATACGGCAGATTTCAGCTCTATCTCAATTACATTCAACTCGTTACTCGTTCTTAAGTTAATAACTAAAGAAGTTTTCAACTGACTCTTAAATTAATAAATGTTAAAAGAAACTCATGTAAGTATTAAGTTCTCATATTAAAGATATCGAGAATGCATTAGTTTTCAACTTAAGAATTAACTAACTAGAATAAGAACTAACTAAAATTAACTAATGTTCTTCGCAGTATATATTAAAGTTTAACGAGTCACTTTAGCGCTATGCTCCACAAGGAGAAGAGAACTACAGTAAGTAAGTAAGTAAGCAAGAAAGTTACTTTTGAATATAGTCTTCAAAGACTAGTTAGACTAGTTATAAAAGGACTAGTTATATAGTCAAAGACTTAATTATTGTAGTTTATATTAAAAATAACTAATGCGTAGTTCTCAACTTAAGGTCTAACTGTAGTTAACTAATGGTCTTCCCAGTACATTATAAAATTTAACTAGTCACTTTACCGCTATGCTGCACAAGGAGAAGAGAACTACAATAAGTAATTAAGTTACTTTTGAATATGGTGTTCAAAGACTAGTTAGACTGGTTATATAGAGACTAGTTATATAGTTAAAGACTTAACTATTCTAGTTTATATTAAAAAATAACTAATGCGTGGTTTTCAACTTAAGGTCTAATTGTAGTTAACTAATGTTCTTCCCAGTATACACTAAAGTTAAACCTGTCACTTAAGCTCTACAAGTAGAAGAGGACTTACTGTAAGTAAGTAAGTCGTTTTTGAATATAGTCTTCAAAGACTAGTTAGTTTAGTTATATGAGAACTAGTTATATAGTCAAAGACTAGACTATTCTAGCTTATATGAAAAAATAACTAATGCGTGGGTTTTTTTGGGTATATTCGTATTAATATATTATATTAGTGAAGAGTGTTCACGATATTTTGTGCTGTTTGGAAAGTACTACGATTATTTTAAATTTTTTTAATTTTTTTTGAAATTAGTTGTATAGTAGAATTCTATTGTACTACTAAAGTTCTTATGACTTTAAACTGGATTTCGTTTATTTATATATTATATATTATATGCACTTAACATATAATATATTAATTACTACTTTATTAAATGCGCTTTAAACTCATTCAGTATAAATCCACTAAAGGAATTAAAAGCCATCTCAAAAATCATATCCATGGAAATAAACTGTGAAAATGGCGATAAACATACCCATACCGGATATAACTCACAGTAGTTATCATTTTAATTAATACAAAGCAAACATTTAAAAAAAACTTAAAATTTCAAATGTTTTTTTATTATTTGATTCATTTTTAATTAGAAAATTGAAATAGAAAAATAAATTAATTTTATTCAATCATAAAAACTCGTCTTTTGCAATAAGCAAAACAGGATAATGTGCAAACAAAAACCCACAATCGTGAACACCCCAAATATTTGTATAAAACTATATGTTTGTATTAATTTATTTATCTATTTTTAATATTTTTTTTTTATTTCATTAACATATAATTTTTCAATTATAATAGTAAACAAATTTTATTTATATTTTATGGCATAATTATTATGAATTATTTTTATGTGTTTAAGCTGTGTACATTGCATTTGAGAACTATTTTTTTTAGCTTTAATAACAGGATTATATATACATATATTTACATTTTAATATTTTTTAAATATATACATATTTATTTACATATAAATTGAGTTCATTTAAATATTGAAAAATTATGATGTATGAATTTTAATGAATATTAAAAAAATATAAAATATATACAATGTAAAAATGTATCAGATGGGGTAAGTTTCTACTATAACTACTTTTTCCACGCCTAGATTAAACTGGGATCATAAAATAAAAAAAACTTATAAATGAGTTCAGTAATCTATGATGAAAAAGTATTTATATGTGTGAAACTGTAAGTATTTTTTACTAAATAACAAAAAAAATAATAGATGTGAAATTTAAAAAAAAAATGTAAATAAATAATTTAAATTACATAATATTTAAACTTTTCATTCATGCAAAATAATAAAGAAAAACTCATTCAAAAAAAAAAAAAGCATTTTATAAAATTTATGCGAATATCACAACTGAATGCTTTGTAGTAGTTAGTTAAGCATAGATATTTATCATTTTCGATTGTTAATAGATTGTAAAAAATTAAAATTATTTTTTAAATGAAAAATAAATAATATATAACAAATTTCCGCATCACCAAACCTTTTAACAGTACCTCCCAAACCAATAAATATACAAAATATACAACAACAAAAAACAAATTTACAAATCCGTGAGGATTTCTATTTGCATTTCATGGGCTTACGCACCGTCATGTCCGTAGCTCGTTGGTAAATAATTATTTGGTGGCGCTTCGAATGCAACATGGCCGCCGGTAAATGGTGCTCCACCTGAGTAGCTGCCACCGGCAGGTGGACCGGCTGGCGGCAGATACTGGTGCGTTGCGCTACTGTAAGTTGGCGGTTTTGATGGTGGGCCGTAATTTGAATGACCAGTTGGAATTTCGTAAGTTGTAATCGCTGTAAAATGATAATTAAAAGAAAATATTAAATATTTTTATTATTTATTATGGACGATAAAACTGTTTAATTATATGTCTTGGAATTTCTTGGAATATAGCGATATATTTATAGCTAACCCGGTATTTTAACAAATTAAATACAAATTTTTTCTGTTAGGATTTTGAACTCAATATTTTTAATTAAATATATTACAAAAGTCAAATAGTAAAATAAAGTAGTAATTTGCATAAAAATTAGTTTAATTGATTGGTTTGATTTGATATTTATAGTTGATTTACGAGATTTTTAAACTAAGCTGTTGCACTAATAGGCAAATATGTTGAATTAATTATTGGAAAAAAAATGTTTTAGGTATTATTAAAAGCAAAAATAATAATAACATTTAAAACAATTAAATTAAATATTTATAACATTTATTTCTGACCAATTTATTGATTAAATTGACTTTTAAAAATAATTTATGGCAATTTCGATTGGTAAATTTGGCGTAATTTTTTCAATCGAGATGCTCTTTTAATACACTCTTAGTGCGTTTTCATTTTTGTTTCGTATCTGGAGTAAAATGTATAACACTTGTAGAGTAGTAAGATTACCCTGAAATTAACAGCTGTTTTGATTTGATTCGATATGTATTTATGAAAAATATAAATGTCTGCTAACACTACTACAAATATGTTAGATTACTCTTAAAATGTTTGATAGGAATCGAGTATTCTTAAAATTTGACAGATCGAGACTAAAACTAGATAGAATCCAGATTTACCAATCGAAAACGCCATTAGTATTAATTAATAAGTATGGAAAAATTAATTATACATAAGTTAATAGACATTTAATTACTCAGATGCTAAAAATGCTTCATGGCATTTTCTATTGTTAAATCTGGATTCAATTTCTCCAACTGTCAGAGATGCAGTGACAGACAAATAATTTAAATGTAAACTAAAATGAAGCATTAATTCACGTATTGAATCTATATTATATTTAAGAAATGATTATACTATTGTTGAATTATATGCAAATCTATATAAACTTGGAATAAAGTATATAATAGTGTGTATATACTAACTAACGGAATCGAAAAAATCCAAAAACTGAGTAGGGTTAACTCACTCATGTACTCAGTGCTTTACTTAGTTTAAATATAGACATTATAAACTAAACTATAGCCAAACTCTTAATTAACAATATGACGAATGGAGAAGCGACAAAAGGAACAGTTGAAGTGACAGCTTACAATACTATAAAAACGAAAACATTAAAAATCAAAAGTTAATAAATCAGATAATGTGAAATAATAGCACTAAATTGAATTTATAAATATTTTTATAGAAAATCTTTATAATAATATTAATATTATACGTCGTTTTTGAAATAGTCCCACAACAATAAATTTAAAAAATTCTAATCGAAATAATGATATATTATTTATAATATTATATATTATATGTTATTATATTATTACTATATTATATTATATTATTATATATATTATTTTTCATTCTTTGAGGATATATAGAAGAAATTTCTTATTAATAAATAAAGGCATTATACATTTGAAAACTTAAAACAGGTAGCTTCTGACATCTGGTGTTTAGAGTTTGTGTGATATTGGATAGCTCCAAGAATTCAATCCAAAAAATGTTAACTAATATAGCCGTTTAATCGTAAAATCATGATGAGTCGTAAAATCAATATAACAAGAAAAAAAATAGAGGATAAAACATTTCTCTGAAATAGCTTGATATTTGGGTGCTATTAAATACGATGAACCTAATTTTCATTCTTTAATATTTCTTAAAACTGAATAATTTTTATCATTTTCAGGTTCGATCAATATTCTAAGTTCATTAAAAAAATTAAATAAATCAAATTTACTTCTTTGATATACTGCTATGAAACGAAATGATCTTTCAGAACCAGATGAAACAGATAACGAAAAGTGGATCACATATAATAATTTTGTGTCAAGACAATGTTAGTCGAAGAAGGAGGAATTAAAACAAAATGGGAAATCGAGAATTGATGACAAGTAGGTTGATATTGAATGTTTGGTAGGATTGTACGGGTATCATCCATTATGTGTTATTGATTCGAATTGCCATAATTTGTAATTAATGTGTTTGTAATAAAGAAATAAAAGAGATCAATAAAAAGGAAATGTGTTGTGTTTCATTATGATAGCTTTAGATTGTAAATATATCTTTTTTATATGGACAAAACTAAAAGATCTTGACAGTGAATTTTTCAAGTGTCCATCAAGAAATTTTGGAATATTAAGGTCGGATTATTGTGAGTCTAACTAATTTCAGTAAAAATAAGAATATTGATGGTATTGTTTTTTAACAATATTATAATCCCTTTGAACAAGAACGTCTTCGCTGTAATTAAATATAGGTACATGGTTTCTTCATTGAATAAGACTCAGAACCTTGGTAGAATTGTAAGAAAATATCTTGACGTCAACAAACTAGCAGATAAAATTAGTTAATTGTCTATTTGAAATATATTCAAATATATGAGAATATATTTATATTTAATTATATTTATATTTAATTTATTGCAGAAGGAAGAACAATAGTCTTTGATTCAAATATAGTTAAATTTTTTAGCGGTTATAATTAATTTCATGAAAAGCTATATGTGTTTAAAACCTAGTAGATTAAATGAATAAAATATCTTTAAAGAGGTCATAATACTTTCGTTGTTCGTCGTTGGAATCAACTTATTGCTAATAATATATGAAGAGCCCTGGGTTTTAAATATAATTTGTACCACTTTTAACTAACTTTCCTTTTTTAGTAATATTTTTTCATTTAAAAAAGTCTTAAAAATGATTATTAAAGGAAGCTACTGTAAATAACTCATTATACAATTAGATTTAATAATTTTGTACATCAGTTATGGACTAAGTTCATTTTGGTAATGATCTACTATAATTCGTCAAACTAAAAGTCATAAAAAATGAAAATCAAGACAAGATATAAATAAATATTTCATTTGAGTCCATTCCTGCATCCATTATCAACATTCTCTTTAAAAATCTATTATGATCAGTTGAGATCAACTATCACATTTAGTGTGGTTTCGTAAAAAAATAAATTATGACCGATCAGTCTAGTGACATTAATTGGTTGTAACCGAAAAATATATGTGCAACAAAACTGGTAAGTTAAGGAAGTCTTCTCCTTTTTTGCGATAGACAACGAATAAAAATAGTGAGTGCCGCGAAAATATTTGAGGCAATTTTCCAAAGACTCGTCTAAGGTAGGTATTGCGTTTGGCTTGGGAAACTAGTTTTTCTTCGTTTGAAAATGAAAGTAGTTTTGTTGCAGAGGACGCAGATACGCGATTATGACAACCGCAAGTACCAAACGATGCGGTTTAGGTCAATGTACGAGTACGTACCAATAGGCGGTCTGATTTCTGTCGTTCACTTTATCTGCTATTGATTGCGCTTAATTCGAATGGGCACATAGTATATGTACTAAACCGTAAAGGCAATATGCTAACACTGATTGAACGGCGGTAAAATCAGTCTTCCGTTTTGCAGTGCGTTGTCAAGTCTTTGTGGTGCAGTTTGTGGCGGCTGCTCAGTAAACGTTTGTCTACTGCGCCGGCGTCGAGGATGAGTGAATTCACTTAATTTGCTGTTAAATTGGCTTCGTTATGCATTTCATTTGGATTTGTTAAATATTTCATAACGAATTGTTTGTAAGTTTATAATTTTTTGTTTTTGTGTATTTGGATTGTGAAAAGTTGAATTGATCTGATAAAAAAAAATGTATTGTACAACTATTTGAGGGCGATCTGCTTCATTTCTTGGGCTGACATTGAAATACACAAAATTATTTGCATATCACGTTGTGGTTTTAATCACTTTGAATGCATTTTGGAAGGCATTTTTTATTGTCTTTTGAAGAAGTATTGTAACATTTGAATTCATTGGAGATTATGAAGTTTGGAAGCTGGATTCGTGGAAAAAAACAGAAGGTTGTTCTGTATTAACATATTTTTAAGCATCTATTAATAACATATTAATCGGAACTAGACAAAGTATTAGCAATATAATGCTAGGAATTATAAAATGTATAAAATTATAACAATTAAATAGGAAGTACAACTACAGTGGAGAGTATAACAAGTCAAAATTTCAAAAGAGATTTTATCAAATATATTGAGACGATATATAATCACATATTTTTTTATATATGATATTAAAATGTCTAAAAACAGTGTCTACCATTTATTTGTGAATCCATACAATAATTTTTTAAACAAAGTTTAGTCCCATGAATTGTAAAATATTAGTCTATAACTTAACAGACAAACGTACATTATCTAATCGATTCCATTTGTGAGGTTCATAGAGATTGTATTAAGATCACTTATACTTAGCCATAAAGACAACTTGCTAATCTTGATTCAACTTTCCACGTTTATTTCATAAATACAGTAAAAGCTTTCTCAAGCGGACAGTGAATGGAATCAGTATTCTGTCTGGTTAACAGAATTGTCCATTTAAAAGAACTTTAATTAAAATTATAACTGGAAATAAGTGTAATAGCAAGTTAAAGAGATATATTCTTTTGTAAGGACGTCCACTTTAAAAATCCTCCGCTATACATCACTTTTTTACAACGTATGTGAAAGGTGGACGCACAAAATCGATTAATATTATACAAGTATATACATATTTTCTAGTTTACGATCTCATTCTTAATCAAAGACGGCTATATAGGAGGAGGATAGATGAACTATGTAAGATATTTAGCAGTATAATATTTTCATATGTCATTAGAATACTTAATTCATATTGATTGGACTACAAAAGTCTACCAAGTCAAGCAAGCTATAATTTACGAGGGTATTTACTGATGTCGTCAGTCAAACGGGAAAAGTACTGCGACACAAGATCGATAATGAATTTTGCTTCACAAGGAGAGATATACTGTAGTATAAATTCAACTCCAAAAAAAAGAAAAAACACTTCCGAAGAAGATAGTTAATGGTTGCCAGTGGCAGTCCCAAGCTTGTAAGGTGATGCTTACTTAGCTGTTAAAAAATTTGACTATTAGTGATGTCAGTGATTTGATAGCAAGTTTAGTGATTGTTTGTAAAGTTTAGTTGTTACATTTAAAGTTAGTATTTTGTACTAGTTTTAGTTTAAAATTATTGTTTTAATAAAGCGGTTAGTCAATTAAATGCCTGTATTCAGGAAAGAACTTCAAAAGAATATGAACGCCGTCTGATAACTACTAAGCAGTGATGAATTAATTCTATAGCAGTTTTTCTTCTTCCTCCAAGGCAACTAATAAGGATGGAGCAAAAGTTGGGTGCTATCAATAGGTATATGCGACCCTTTTTAGTATTTATATAATCAACTTAAACATATTATTAAATAGTTTTTTTTTATATTTTAGCAAATAAAAATAAAGTTCTTAAAGTCAATTTGATTTTATTGTTAATGTTATTTAGGTAAAATGAAATTGTTTACTTTTTTGTGTAATTTGTTATTAACAGTTAATAAATGCTATTTTACATTCCTAAGATATTCATAAAATTAATTAATTTATTAATACATTGTTAAAAATACTATTTTTTCAAACTTTTGACAAGAATTGCATTTTTAATTTAATTATTAGTATTGATTAGTATTAGTAGTTAACTCCCTTTAAATTCCTCTGGTATTAGAGCAATAAAATTACTTACTCTCTGTATGCACTACTGGACCACTTGATGAGTGTTTACTGCCGCTACCACCAGATGACGCACCTGACAACGAACTGAATTTGGCAAATGGATGTACAAATCCAGTGTTATGACTAGTGCCATAACTATGTGAATTTATTTGTGCTGAATTGATAATAGATTTGCCCACATCTGTTACTTTTTCACCACCAGCAGCAACAATATTACCGCTAGCACTGAGCGCATAACCACTGCCTTTGATAAGTTGACCCTTCAAGGCGGTCACACCGCCAGTTATGGCTTTTACTGCTTGTAAAATTGTATTTAATACAGATTTTTTGAAGGACCATGGATCATAATCAACAGCATTTCCCTAAAAGTTATTATTGAAATTATATTATTATATTGTATATATAATAAACGCATTAAGATATTTGTTACGTGATGTCCATCTATTGATTTATAGCTGCCACCACCGCCACCACCGCTGCTACCGCCTGAACTGCCCGACGCTATAGATGCGGACGCATGTCCGATACTGGACAATAATCCTGATTTCAATTGTGTAACATAATCAAAACTATTACCCGAACGTTTTTGTATTTGTGAATCTTGTTCTGATTCTGCATGTTCGTTATCCACATCCTCTTCCAGCGATATTGACTTTTCCTCAGCTGCGGGAAAACTGTACGCAATCAGAGGCAGCGTCAGCAATAATATGTAGAAGAGCTGAAAATAAAAACATGATAAAAAATTTTTTAATTAAATATAATTACTGTTTATTTTGTAATGAAAATTTCCGTCAAAACTGTTGTCACGTAAGTCAGAAACGCAACTGCATTGTTTGCTGCACGAGCAACAGGCAATGAAATTAATTTAGCGCGTCCGCATTACACATAATTTGTGCTCACTTAATTGCTCAACCGCTCCTGTACACCATAGCCGTTTTTTATTAAATCAATTTTTTTTTTAAGTTTTTAACTAAAGTTTTTAAGTTTTTTAGTTTTTTTTTTTAATGTCTAACTTTCGATAGACATAAACAACCTCCGTTCGCTGCCTTTTTACTGTCAGTAGTCATCCGACAACATTTGATAGCAACACACCTATTTATTGCCAACTTGTCTTTCATTTTTTCCTGCTGCTTGATTTCCAAAATTTTTTCAATAAGTTTTAAATATTTTAATAAAATAAACATAAATTAATGTCCTTTTATTTCTCTACACACAAATTGCCAGTTGAAGTTTTTGCTATGTACGCAGCTGGATTGCGTTGTCAGTTGAGATACAAAAAAAAAAATGATTTATTTAAAATTTAAACATATAATTTATTTTTTTATTGCATTTTTAATCTGTCAGGTGAATTTATTAAATATAAGTTTATATTTTATATTTCATGTTAACATTTATCTGTAATTTTTGTATTGCATCTAACGACATACATTTTATGGTCGATTAATTTGCTTCATTTCATTTAGGAAATTTACGTTGTCGTAATTACTATGACGACCTCTTGTGAAAGAATTTCGATGGTTTCTCAGCTTTATCTGCATTTAGCTACGATATTTTTATTCTTTTATATAAACGATATTTTATTAAGTAATCTTATTTAAAAATTTTGTAATTTTTTATGGAGTTAGAGAATTTTTTTTCAACTGGATTCCACATCGGATAATTTGCTTTAAGTATTTTGCTTTAAGTCACTCTTAATCGATATTAAAAATAATTTTCAAATATACATAATATATATATACTTGCTTTAGGTATAGATCTCACTAAAAACAAACTCTTGAAATATTTTTTAAAATTTTTTTCAACTCATACCATGTAATTTTATTATTAGATAGACCAAGACTACTGATGATAGGCATTTGGCAATACTCAAAACAGCTGTGTGGTCAGCCAAAAATGATTAAAATATTAATTAAAATAATATAAAAAAGAATTTTTGTTGCTTTAGTTCGAAAAACTTCTTCATTATTAGATTGTGTAATAGTAAATTGCGAACTATGAGATCTATTATGCTGTCACTGGCGATATTCTTATAAGCTTACCTATGCAAAGCAAGGCTCTTGCTAAATCTAACAATATTTCTTACTAAAAAATACCAGTCTCAGTGCGTTCAATGAAATCTAAATAGAGGTTTTCTGATAATCGCACGAAATCTACCTATTTTAAAACGCATACATTTTCACTCTAGTTAACTATGGGGATCCTCTAGTCCCTACTCTAACAGCAGCAGTAATGCTGATATTACGAATAGTTTATTATTGATTTGAAGAGTTTTAAAAATAATGTAAATTTTCGACCAACATAGGTTGAATAGATTAGACAAATTCGGCTGGCTGTAAGTCATATATTGATGTGTTGGTGCTTAGCGACATCAGATAGAGTTATAATTTATTTAGATTCTGTAGTGTACATTTTGGCAAATTGTAGAAGTGCTTGAAATTCTATTTCTGAGACAGAACTATCAAACAATTCCAAGGATTTTTTAAAGCTTGTTCTCTGATCAGATCTTTGTCAGATTTGCGCCAAGTTTCTGTGTGCCGTAGTTATAGTAATAGTGCTATATAGGTGATTCGATAAAGATACAGTTTCCAGACGTGAAGTGGTGAAGATAGAAATTTTTTCAAAAAACTTCAACAAAACTTCGAGTTTCAAAAATTAGTGTCGAATATTTTTTTCAATAGATAATTAATGAAAGATATTATTATTAAATTAAAGGTGCCTCAAAAAGCAGCGAAATCTCGAATTGCGAAATTAAAAATAATAGGTAATGAAAATTAAATTTTTTTAATTTTTAATATTTAATAAAATAAATAATAATATATATTAATAAAATTTAATATATAGATAATATTAAATTTTGAAAAATATAGCAAAGTAATATAGAGAGATTTTTTCTGTAAAAAAATATGGAATACAAAAAAAGATAGGAATAGTGAAAGGGCAGACGGAAGGTAAAGAAAAAGCGATACTACTAATATTAATATATCGCTGTTCCCTAAATAATTTGGGAAATTGTTAGACTTCCATTACGAAAATTAACTGATATAACTAGATATAACATTTATCTTTCAAAGACAATTAATATCTGAATTTTTGGGTTTCTATACACTGGGAACTGATAAAAATATATAAAGAAGGGGAAACGGAGTAATGAAAAACATGGAAGAAAAAGTGAATACAAAAAAATTTGAATAACATATGGAAGTTATAAGAAAAAATTAAGGAGAATGACAATTCAAGAAGAGAAATAAGAACAAAAATATAGAGCAGGCAAATAAGAACATAAATATCGAGAAATAATTTCTTTCATTAATTATTATAGTAATCAATCAGGTATTGACTTCAAGTCTAAGTAAAATAAAAACATTTCAGAGAAACAAAATAATATACTCCATAGTCATGATCAGAAAGATCCTAAAAATATTGTATTCATTTCTTAGTATAATATGGATCTTACTGCAATTTTTTTACTTTTTTCTTATACTAAAATAATAACTTTATTTTGCAGTGAATTTATTATATGCGAACAGCCTTAATTGAGCATGTATGCTTACATTACAACAGTAATAGGTTTCAGTGATTGTGGGATCCATATCCTCTTATCAGTCGCCTATGACAATCAAATGCTGTTAATAATTTCCATCAAAGTTTTATCGTTGGTTATAGGAGAGATAATAAGCTATTATAATAATAATATAATAAGCTATATAAGCTTGATATAAACTTATTCTGGTCTACAGAGATAACACTAGCAACAACAATAACATCAAAATTGTTTAATTTTTTTCTCATCTAATTTGGTACTCACAGATACACTGTATCACCAATAATAATCACAACTGTGTAGTGACAGCAAAGAAAAAAAAATGTGTACGATATATTTTATAATATATATAATGTGTATATATCTTCTACGTTGAAATATTGGCGAATAAGAAGAAGTATTTGTACTTCTTATAGAAAACGTCGCCTAAAGGATTTTTACTAATTAGTAATAGTAACGATGGAAAAATTATTAAACGCAAAAATAAACAATATAAAATATTTTATATAGTTTATTAAATTAAATAATAAATAAATTTTTTTATTTCACATTCATTTACATATAGTTCACATCTAACATATTTTCTTTATACAAAATCAAGGTTTTTTATTAATTTCTGATATATTATTTATTATAAAAATTTCATTGTATATATTTTCAATATTTAATAATACATATATATAATAAAAGAAATTGTTTAAAAAAAAATTGATTCGTGTAAAAACTATACTGGCGGTATTTCAATCGATCAATAGTTCGATATTAGTGACTCATGTAGTGTTTAAAACCAAGTGAAATTGCGAAAATCTTGAATGAAATGTATTAAAAAAAATATATTTTAATAAAAATGAGATAAACAGAAGCACAAAAAGGTTAATGGGAAATCACAGCTTTAAATTTAAATGCTCAAATCCGAAGTAAGTAGTCTGTAGTGATTAAAGTTTAATAGTGTTACGATGATTATTGTTTTATTGTGTTAATTAATTTTATAATATTATAACAACAAATTAATTTGTTTTAAAATAGTTTAAAATTAGTTAAATTTTATTATTTTTTAATTTATTTTTTATTTTATTACTAATTTCAGGTTTTCTCTCCAAAGATACTCGTAGTACACAATTCTTCGCAACAAGTTACATTGTGTCAAATGTCATGTCGAGCGGCAAGTCAAGTCAAGTCAAGTCAAGTAATTTTTGATACTAACAGACAAATAAAAAACATATGTAATACAAAATATAATTAAATTAAAAAATTATAAAACATTTGAAATCTAACAATAAAAATGTTGTAATAAAAATAATTTTTTAAAAATATAAGGAAATCGCATACTATATGTTAGTAATATACTGGAATGGAACGGAACAAGTGTACCGAATAGCATGGAAGAGTGTGAATTTTATCCAACGAGTAAACGAGATTAATATTAAAGAAACGTACGATTTAATGTTTTAATACCAAAAATCTCTAATAACAAATATCTATTTACACTTTACCCCCACTCACTGCCATGCCAAGAGAGAGTGAAAGTGTTGTGTGTGTATGACGACAAATCCAAACAAGAAACAAACCCAAACAAACAATCGACCAGCCATTGAATTCGAAGACGTCTTGCCCGTAAATATCTGAGATGTCTTGTGTTTGGATAGTTGTTAGCGATTTGTTAGAAATTCCGCTCGTTCAACGTGTGATTGTGATTGTGGTAGGTTCGGCCTGGGCTTATTTTTATTGTTGTTATTATTACAAAAATTTACATAAAAATATTTCGTTGACGATACAGCAAATGTTATTGCACTGAATTTGGTTAAAAATCAATTAACGAATTCAATAAAAAGTGAAGTTTGGTTAATTTTTTATTATTAAAGTTAATTGTTGGTCACAATAAATGAGGTCAATAATGTGCAAATTATTTTAATATCACTTAACATAATTTTTATCTATTTTTTTCTATATTCAAATTCGAACGAAGTAATTAAACGAGGAGGACTGACATAATATTATGTGACTACTACGAGTTTTTCCATATCGTATTGCTGTAGTTTTTAGTTGTATCTTTTTTTTTTGTATTTTATTTTGAAGTTTTTATATCTGTTTTCTATTTGGTCTTTCGCTATATGTGATGTAATTTTTTAAAAATATTATCACTCTTATTGCTCCCACCTTTCTCTTTTACTGAACAT